GAAGAGATACTGAAGTAAGGCTGTTTTGAAAGACATAATAGAAGAAAGACAAATAACTGACTCTGGAAGATTATTCCAATCAGTAATAGTTGAATAAAAAAATGAAGAATGCACCGTTTGTGGAGAAAAACCATCAACAGATTTAAAGTGATGAGTAGTGAGGACGATGAATAGTGTAAAAGCGAGAAACCGGACTTAGACAATGATACATTTTGAAAAACTGTAAAAGTCTAAAGTATTTACGACGAAGAGAGATTTGGAGAACTTAATACTCAGCACACCGTAAAGCTTTTTGTATTAGGTAATAAAATGTAGAGAAAACTGACATTGATTCAATCAGCTTTGAGCGTTAATGACACAAACCTTTCCCGAAACAGATGTAGTTTCTCAAAAGTATAGTTCCATGAGTAAACTCAAAGTATTCATGTCCTTCTCCACTATGCATAAAGCAATTTCCACGTTTTTGTCTTACCACCTTAAGACTATATATTTGAATGAAAAAAAATGTTTGGAGTCAGTTACGAATAGCATCAACATGTTTCATACCAGCCTACTAAAGTACTCGTATGATGGAAGCTGTTGAGTAAAGATCGAGGCACTAACCGCCGTTTCAGTTGTGTATTCAGCACTGATTTTAAATAGCTTAACGCAAAGCCGATAATATCTATTCACGAGCATGCATGCATGCATTTTAGAGTAAAATCAATGGTTTTATGCTTTTACTCATTCAAAAGCCTTGACCCAACAAATACGGCACATTTTTTTCTGATTTTCTTCGTTTGATTGATATGGCATAACTTAGTGAGACAGTTTATTTTTCTAGCCGTTATTCCTAACCTATTATAATTAAAATAGGTCAGCTAAGAGATGTCGTTATCATACGGCATGTACATTGAAATACTAAATATTTTTCGTTAACACACGTCAGAGAGCAATGCGTAACATTCCAAACTTTATGAATTGGGAGCAATTCATAAAAGAGTCGTTTAGTTACCGATTATTCTTCACAAAAGTATCAATTCAATTACTCTGAATGGCATTCAGAGTAAGTCAATTGATACTCCTGATATATAACTCGATGTATTTTGAAAAAACAAGTTTTCGTCCTAAATTTTAGGCAAAATACCTGAGGGGGACCTCAGGTAAAAATTTTGAGAGAAATTTTTTTTTCTCTGCCTTCCAAGTCGAACTTAGGTGAATACCGTTTTTCAACATCTCTTGGCTTGAATCGCGGTGAATAAAATGTAGGTAGTTTTCATATGTTACAAACCTCAGACAGATGACATATGTTATGCTATTCTCTGGCTAGATGAGACCGGTCTGATTTGTGAAAATCTGCAATTTACATAATATCTAGATGTTCAGATATTCAGATATCTTCCTCTTTTCTTTCACGGTGGCGAATATCAGGAAGCGCCTCACTCTCATCTTCCCTTGCCACCCCCACCTTCCCTTTTCCCCATTTCTATAACATCTGAATATCTAAATATCTAACTTGAATATCAGAATATCTGAATATCTGAACATCTAGATATACATCTAGATATATTATGTAAATTGCAGATGTTCACAAATCAGACCCTACTGGGCTAGATACAGAACGAGTAAAAACTGAGTTGAGATTTATCGCCAAATCGTTTGTATTTAAAAATACCAAAAGATTCTCCATTCAACTTTCTATAAAAAAATGTGTTGACGTATTTGTTTTCAAATCCAAAGATGAAAAATGACATGAGAAATTGTACGATATACTAAAATAGAGAAAAAATAACCTAAAAAACATTATTTTTAAATTCTATCCATTAAATGTTTCTGAGAGAAAACGACTGCAGTAGCCATCGGGTAGGTCTCAAAAAGCTTCAATTTCCACCAATAATTCAACATTTTTTGCAGTTAGAAGCCTTCTAACTGCAAATTTTGTAAAACTTACGATTCATATTACCAGAAATACAGCTTTTTCGTATTCAGTACACTCGATAACCCATAAGATTTTCTATTTTTGGCGAGGAACACTTCCAAAAGTTTAGAAAAAAGTTTCCATGAGAAAATAATATTAGTTTGAAAGAAAATTTTCCTAAACTTTTAAAAGTACCGCTCGCCAAAAACAGAAAATCTTCTGGATTATCGAGTGCACTGAACACGAAGAAGCACTTTTCAGCAACTCAAAAACTTTTTTTGTTCCGGTGATAAGCTCTAACCAGCAAATTACGATTTTCCTTAGAACAAGTATATTTTAGTCAAAGTTAATGCTTTTAAATTGAATTTTTTTGTCTATTTTGAATGTATAAAATTCGTTCATTACCGAGACGTCAATCCTTGAGTCAGATGTTTAATTCAAATACGTTTTGCTGTACGATGAGAAAGAGTGCACGTCAAGCTACACAAACATGCACTCAAAACTGCGTTCTGATGCTTATGCATTCGACAAAATTTAGCTCGGTACGTTAATTTTTTCTGTATTTTAGTATATCGTACAATTTCTCATGGCATTATTTCCCTTCGGATTTAAAACAAAATAATCAACACATGTTTTGTAGAATATTGAACGAAGAATCTTTTCGTAAAAAGACTAGCTTGTTCAGGTCTAACCCACAGGATCTTTTTTTGGTATTTATTGCATTATAATGTGTTAAGCATATCGCAATGCCTTGTAATGTGTTCGCTTTTCTATTGTGTTACAACGCGATAAATTTAGAAAAAACATGTCTTTAATGCATTAGCGTAACGCGTTAAATGCCAAAAAATTGAAATTATAGTGTAATAATGCATTTTTGTCAGCGACTTTCTCAATTCTTATAATGTTACAACGCTATAAATTCGATTAATGCGATAATAGTTACAAGGCGTTACAAACGCTATAAGAGATTTTTTCGAATTTTATGGCATTACAACACGCTACTACATCTCTAAAACGTTACAACTTATTAGTTTATGATATATTACAAGGTATTTATTACTTTTATAGCGTTTTGCATAAGCATTTAAGTTTTTGATTTGTTTATAGACGGAATCAGCATACTGCAGTATGCTGAAACTTTATTTAGAGAGAAATCGTGCGAAGATAGCGTTCTAGGGTAACTTCATGTTATTAACGTGCTAATAACAGTTGCCAAGCAGCCAAGTTCAACGTTCGTGGAAAGATAGTTACCAAGGACAAGATGTTCAAAAGTTTCAAATATGGCTGTAGTTGGCAAATAGGAAAGTGTGGACGTGTATACTGTCTTTTTTTTTCCGTTGCTTTAGAGAGAAAAGAAAAGAAAAATATTTTCTATTTAAAATTATTAAAAATACACGTTTTGAGCACACGGAAGAGGAAATAATTTATGCCAGTATAACGGGAAAGACGTCTTCTAATATGTTAATTTTTTTTTCAACTTTATAGGATTATAATGCATTATATAATGTCTATGGTATTGCAACTCTTTAGAAACTAATACATTACGAGATGTTTAGAACGTTATAAACCATTAGAAAAATCGTATTTCGTTAACATACATTAAAATCCAATGAGTTGCAATGCCGTATACATTATACAATGCATTATAATGCTATAAATACCCCAAACCAGTTTTTATGGGGTTATAATTAGATAAAATATCTAATATATTATAACGCATTAATTTCTAACGCATTATATTGAAGTAGAAAACTCAAACGCGTTATAATACATTAGAATCTAACGTATTATAAGGCGGTAGACAAATCTAATTGAGTTGTAACAAGATAAAAAAATTGAAACGCAATAGAGTTGTAATGCAATGGAAATTTTTATCCAGTTATAACGCTATAAATTCCGGAAAAATAGCTTTGTAACGAGTTATAACACACTGGGTTACGTCTATCGCGTTATAATGAGATAAATTTATAGCATTGTAATGCCATAATTTAAAAAAAGCATGTTTTATAGAATTATAACGCTATAAATAGGGAAAAAAAGATCCTGTGGGAAGAAATGGAAGAAAAATTGAAAATAGTGCGAGTGCAATTATTTCGGGGCTACCCGTTATAATGACACCTTTTTGGGGAAAACCATATAATTAATATAAGTTGGAATTGACATATTTTCGTTCACAACTCACACTGTTCACATAAGATTCAATATCTAATATTGATCTTTCACTATTATCAATAATCTTTGTTAAGAGATATGATACTTTCTGTTATTGTACTTCTGACATAATCTGTGTTCTAAAACATATGTTATTTATCGAAATAGTTAATCAAGTACATAGCAATAAAATAATACAATCAATAAATAATAATATGCTTTCTTGTATGACAGAGTATTCGATTGTAAAAAGAATATCTGTTACGGTTGACTAATATTCGATATTTTTAACGTTAAACTAATTACATTTTTATAAAGAATAGATCCTCGTGGTGTAAAAACACATCGATATAGTTTAGTTATCGAAATGGATCATTTATTAAGCAAGTAAGTTCTAACACAAAAAAAAAAAAAGGATCAACTATACTACATTTTAATATAATGTCCAGCTAATTCTGAATTGCATAATATATTTTTCTGCACTAAACGCTATTTTTTCAATTATTTATTTGTAGGTTGTTCAAATTAAAAAAAGGTACAAGATTAAAATCTCAACATCGAATTGACCCACTTAGCTCTGTGTTTCTATTAGAAAAATTACCAAATGAAATGATATATGAAATTTATCAATATTTATCATCATTTGACATATTGTACGCATTTTCACAATTAAATATGCGTTTTGATAGTTTAATGCATAGATTTATACAATATTTTGACCTTTCAAACTTATCATTTAAACAGATTGAACTCTATTCAAAGAAAATATTTCCGCTCTATGGATGCTATGTTGATTCACTAGTATTAAGTGATAGCTACATTGGTAATCAGATAACTTTATTATATCAAAAACTTAAAGTAAATGAAACATTTTTTAATATAAAAAAATTAAAATTAATTAAATGTACAAATGAAGAATTCTTATTATTTATAGCTCACTTTAATAAATTTGAATGTTTACAAGATCTAGATATTGTTACCTGTGAATATCTTCTTGAATCAATCAATAATCTTATGTTCAAAAATATATTTCAAAATCGAAAACGGCGAACATTAAAAAACGTATCTATTATTCAAGATGGTATTTCTTGTGCATGTAAATTTTTAAATTTAAAAAGTGATCCTATTTATCTTCGTTGTTATCATATAAGAAATTTAACACTACAATTAAATTATATTGATCAAATTTTTTTACTCTGTCGATTTTTACCAAATATTGAACAATTGACAGTTCATGTATGTTCATTATGTGATTTAAAAAAAAATACACTTGATTTCACCACTAAACTTAATATACCATATTTAAAAGAATTTTCAATCATATTTCATTCATTTATTACCTTTAATATGTTGAAAATTTTTTTAAAAACTTTTTGTTCAACAATTAAACAATTATCGATCAGAATTATTCATAATCGAAAAGATTCCGATTTAATTGATGGCTACAAATGGGAAATGTTATTGTCAGATGAATTTTTATCAAATTTACATGAATTTCATCTTTGTACAACTGTAGACGTTTCATCTAGTGATAAATCAATTAATTTAATTAAAATTTTAGAAAAATTTTCAACTGAATTTTGGTTAAAGAAAAAAAAATGGTATGTAAATATTGACTGTTTAAACGGTACATATAATAATTCAATTTATTTATACACAATGCCATATTACAATGATGATTTTTGTTTGGCATCCGATTTTACTAAACCATTATCGACTATTCCACTGGAATTAAATTCGAGTGCATATATTAATATTCAAAAACTAGATTTAAGATGGTTAAGTGGAAATTCTTTATCAATGAAATCATTTATTCTTATATTTGAACCATTTTCTAATGTTAAAGAATTATATATTGATGTGCCAGAAAATCGATTTATTAATAGTGATAATGAAATAGAAACGAAAATAATATTACCAAAACTGAAACATTTATCAATTATATCAACTAATGGAATAACTAATGCACATCTTTTAGTCTCTTTTCTATCTATAATTACACAATTTTCATCATTAGAATTATCCTATTTTGATCTTACATGTCTAATAAGAAATAATATCATAATGAAACAAATTGAACAATTACAAGTATTCAGTGTTGATGTAGTTCTATTAAACAATGGACAATTTCTTAAATATTTATCAATAATATTTCCAAATTTGAAACATTTAAAATTGAGACCAAATCGAGCAATTGCATTTGTTAAACAAACTCTTATTACAGAAATGGTCAAATGTTTTAAAAACTTAATTAGTATGGATATTGAACATCGTCAAAACTCTTTTTATTTTAATTTTTAAAGAATTTTCTGTATATATCTTGAATTTTTCGATTTAACAATCAAAATCATTCTTTTCAACTTAATTTTTCTTTCTTTAGAAAAAGTTTTCATTGTTATATTTGATCTCTTCTATCGATACATAAAGTTTGGTGTATATGTACAATGATTTGCAAAAGACTTGGAACAGTTTGGCAACACAAACAATTAATATTTTCTAGATTCTCTTGAGGTTTTGTTTTGCTCTTATTATAGATTTATCCTTACTTGATTATATACTAAAAATATTCATCTATTTTATTAATTTGTGTTTTGTTATTATTTAATAATAACTTGACATAGCAAGGACAAACAGTGTAAAATCACATCATATTTCTGTATTGTATTATTGGAATATGGGAATTTGTTCTGTCAGAAAAATTCACCTAGCTACGAAGATACATATAGAACCCTGCAGGTTACGACTTTTTAACAACCTATAACCTAACCTCACCTACGAAACTCGTAATCTAACCTAACCTATTCATGTTTTTCGTAACCTAACCTAGGTTAACCTAATACAACCTTTTGCAATTTCTTCCCAAAGTCTGGTTTCAGAAGCCTAAACTTCAGCTTTGTTCCATATCGTTATTGTTTTTTATTTAAGTACCGTCTGAAAGATAAGCTTATACGAAATAAATCACATTTTACATCAGCATAGAAAAGAATCGGTTGAGTCTTTTATTCTTTAATGTAATCTTTGAAAAATAGCATTTTGAATAGGAAGACCCTCTTAAGAGTAGACCAGAATTTCACTTTAGATTCTCGATACTGCGAAGGTTCTGTTATTGTTGTGTATTTGCCATCTATTTTTAGCAAACGGAAGTTTTGTGTCGGTACTTCCTTTTTTGATTGTGCTATTTTTCAGTTTAAAAATAGTTCAGTTTAAACTAGAGAACCTCAGTCGATAAAATTTCACTCGGACTACGCTTTATTACTCAAAGTGTTGGCTGTTTTAATGTGATCGTTCAAAAACTACCACCAAAGTAATCAATGTCAATTGACTGTTTCTACGGGTACATTCTTATGCCATTTGAAAAGACGTCAATATGAAAATTGTTTACCATTAAAAATGCCAATGCTGGCACCGGAAAATAAAGAACGCCGAGTTGAATGGGCTAAAGCACATAGGGTCGGCGAATGTCTTATTTTGTAGCTTGTACAGTTATTTTTAATATGATAAGCAAACAAAGTTTACATAGAAATCTACAATATTTACCGATGAATGTTGATTTCAATTGTTTAGAAATACAATTCATCGCTAGTCAAAACATGCAAAAAAAGAAAAGAAAAGAATTCCAAAGAATAGACAAAAGGTTCATGTTTGAGATTCCATCAGTTATCGTGGAACAGTTGGTTTCCATTCATTTCAAAATACTATGAACAGTGATTATCACATCAGAATATTAGAAAACAATTTGATTTCAAATGCTAAACAGCAATTTAATAATGAATGGTGACTTCAACAATAGTCCAGATCTGAATCCGACTGAAAATCTTTGGAATATCATGAAACGTCGGATTGAAGAAGGAAATTGAATCAGAAGGAGAACGAATTAAATATTGAACTGGATATTGTATGACTATAAACTAATATGTAGTACATAAAGAAACATTTTTTTGAAAACGGTTGGACAAGGCGTGAATACAGGCAAAATATTTGTTCCAAGTCTTTTTGAAAATCATTATACACAGCGTTTCGCTCAGTAACATGTATTTTACAACAGAAAGTATGCTGCGCCTTTAGAATAGAATGACATAAAGAATGACTTTTAGTTTTTTGCTAGATTGGTTTTATCAATAAATACCGTAAAATTAAACAAACTTTCTAATAAAATATGACAAAAAAACACCATCTGTTGAATTTTCTTGCATAATTGAAATTTGGCTAGATATACGTTAGGTTCTAAATCACGTATTTTTTAACTTGATGTTTTTCTATAAAATAATGTGACGTCAATTAACAAATTTATCATCTTTCTCATTCCCAATGAAATAGCAAAGTGGTCAATCACGATTGATGATTCTTTTTGACAGGATTTCTTGTATAAGAACGAGGATATTCCTAGATGTTGTAGTCACTGAATTGAATCAAAGACATTACTTAGCCTGCATGATAAAGTGTTCTAGTCTAGACAATATTTGATTGAGCAGCACTATTTGTCTTGTGTCTAGAAGTTTTTCGCATAATTTGAGCACATCAGCAATAATTGAGTGTGCATACCTGTGATTTTCGTACCATTCGAGAAAACTGTTTGCACGTCATATGCCTTCAATATACATTTGTTATTCGATATGTCGATCGAGCAACCTCTTTACATTAGTTCGAGACTAATGTATAATACTGGCTCTAACAGATGAGTTAACAGTATCAAATAAAAATAATAATATTAGTTTCTAACAACCTTCTAATAGTCATGAAAAATACTAATTGCCTAGATTTTTCTTTTTGATATGTATCTTATAAAATTGTAACCGAAATTTAGAGCCTGAGCGTATTGATTTGAATAGTATTCAAATGTTCCTTAATATTGGTTATCAATGGATGATCTAGTGGTAATGTTTTTTCAGTCATTTGCAAGGCCTTTACATGGTATTCGATTGCACGAGGAAAATCATTGTATTTATAATAGGTGAGGCCAATATTATCGAGACTGCGAGCAATATCTGGATGATCAGCGGGTAAAGCTTTTTCTTTTAATCTCCATGCTTTTACATAGTGCTCATAAGCTTTCTCATACTCTTCAGTTTTATAGTAAACATTTCCAATATTATTCAATACTCTAGCGGTATCGGGGTGATCTTTAGGCAATATTTTTTCATTGATCTGTTTTGCTTCCATCAAATATTTGATGGCTAACTTATATTCTCCATTATCGTGATAAAAATTACCCAAGTTATTTAATGTTGAGGCAATATCTATATGATTTTTAGGCAACGCTTTCTTGTATACTGCCAATGCATTTAAATAGTGTTTATTTGCTTCGTCATATTCACCAATTTCATTGTAAACTACTGCTAGACCATTCAACGTTTTAGCTGCCGAAACAAAACGAGCTGGCTTAGAATTCATGTGCATTTTATAGGCACGATCATAATTAATTATCGCTTTTTCATAATTACCTTGTAAACGATAAGCACGACCAATATTATGATAAACACAAGCGAGTTCTTCATCATTCGGTACTTCACGTAAAATCTTTTCAAAATATTTCAGCGATTTTTCATATTCACCCATATCAGCGAGTAAATGACCAAACATGAGTACTATGTTCGATTGTGCCATCTTCTTTTTCTTAAATTCAATGTATTCGTCAGCTAATTCTGCTCCCTTGTCGGTGGCTTTCGCTTTTACGACCCATAAATTATCTGATTCATCGTATGTACACGATTCAATTTTAAATGCTGCACCCAGATCAAACAATACTTCTTCTTCGGCAGGAAAGTCGCTGTACTCGGATATATCGGATAATAGTATTTTCTCTAGACGAAGGTCCATTTCGATTTCAAACAGAAGACACTCAAGATCTGTTCGTTTTGTTTCTTTTTTAGCAAATTCATAGGCAATTACTCTTGATCGACTTGTAGATAGAAATCCATTTGTTGACATTAGATTACCCACGTTCTCTTCCATAGCCTTAATTTCATCTTTCGGCTGTTTCAATCCTCGATAGAGCATAATAATGGGCGATTTTCGGTAATTTTTTTTAAAATCATGATATTTTACTGCTAAACTTGTGCAGAGATCAGTGATATAAAATCGAAATGTGTATAGAGCTTCAATATTTTCTGATCTTAGTGCTTTGTTTATCAAACGATATAAGAAACTATCTTTTGTATACCATTTAATGGCATCTGATGATTTGTATGTCAATTGAAACTGTACAATATTGGCTAATTCTTTTTGATTTCCACGATAATATTCTTGACATCTTTCAACCATTTCTATTTTAGCTTCTGTTGTTCGAGGCATAGACATTAATGCATTTTTAAACATTTGAAAAAATAAAAATGAACCACATTCATTTGATAAATTACGATGTGATTTTTGTTTTCGATCGTATAGATTGAAGGCGGCTGATTGTTTTTCAGATAGAAATATATGTTTTCGAATATCGTTAATTAACAACTCTTTATTCGTGTAGGCATTAATTATTTTTGCATATTTTTCAGTCATAATTTCATCACAGCTAGTATAGTCTTTATTGAACAAAAATATAGAGTCAATATTGTCGAGTGAATGAATTAGAGGTACGATTTTTAATGCATCTAGTGTATTGACGATTAAAAATATTTTTTCTTCTTTAATTGAACAAATGTAGTCGTTACATAAAACAACATCATCATAAAATAAAACAAAATCATTAATCGATCTCAACGAATTTTTAATGTCATCATCTTCGGAACTACTATCGGTGCCAAACCAAATAAGAGTGATTTCTTCTTGATTTGTATCACGAGTATCACGAGAAGGAATTACGACTGAATTTTCATTAATTTTATTATCTTCATTTTTCAATTTTGATTTTTTTGTACCCATTTTTTCGTCAATAATAACAACATGTACTAGAATGAATCACTGAAACAGTTAACAAATATGACCTTTAATTAAGCCTGTCTTTTTAATAGAAACTTTTAAGTAATTATATCTCGTTTACTAATTTTTTAACATATATATTGTTTTTATTTTAATAATAATATAATTTGCATAATTGATTTTTAGAAAATAAATTCTGACTTATCAACTAACTAATAAATAAATAAATAAATAAATAAATATACCAGAATAATTCTTATATTTTATATATTCTTATTAGGTCCATTCCTCTGTATAGTGTGACTGAGTATCAATTATACAAAAGTATTGCATATATTAAGTAAAAATAATTTATTCGAGAATAGAAAGATAAAAAAAAGAATTAGTCATATTAAACGTGTGCATATGTATATCGTTGTGCAGAGAAATTACAGGATAAATCTACATCAATATGATATTATATTGCACATTTCTGCTTGAATAAATATTACCGTAAACAATCTAGAATAATGATGAAAAATATTATTTTCTACAACAAAAGAGGCGCATTTTTGACAGTTTGTAGTCTATATGTAACTACAAAACAGTCAGTAAAAATTTATCTTAATTAAATCGATTACAATAAAATTCATTGTTTTTAAACATGTGATATACGAGAAAGCAGACTAAACGTAACTATTCTGATATTAATCAAAATACTTTTAATATGCAAATCGAATGAAGAAATGGATTTGAAATATTGTTGTGTAAAATCATATTGATCGTGTAAATGTACTAGGTACATCAACTTCAGTTGTAAGCGATAAGATCCATTTCACAACTTAAATCGTTGTACAGAATATAGATACAGAACAGTGAATTTAGTTTTGTAGTAGTTTACTACAAAGCTAAGCTCACATGTTCAAATCTCTATTCATACAAAATTGATTTTGTGTTTTTCGACAGTTTTAGTTTAGAATACTATAATGGAATATTTTCCGCTTGTATTCTGAGAGAATAAAGCTTATATCAAAGCAGATCCATTTTAAATTGGAAAGTTTGAAAAGTTGTGCGAGTCAATCAAAAGTGGGACTTTTCGGACGAAGAGCGTGCTCAATTTACCTTTGTATCGAAGACAGCATCATGAGACACTTTGCACACGTTTCTGAATGTCTTCCAACCATTTTCTCCTTCTTGGTAATGAAGCCTTTTGATCTTATTTTAAGGAAGATGTAGGACATTACATTGAGGGGAGACGTTTGTTTGATGTAGAAGATCAAGATTCGAAATCTTGGAAATTCATAAAGTTTCTTAGTATCTTCTCACCATTTAACAAACAGATTTTGATAAACGAACACAGGATGTCTAACTTTTATTGCTAAATACGAAAAACGTTCATTTTTAAAGCAATAAATACTCACTACTGTATGTAAAATTTCGCTACATCAATAAGCAAAGTTTTGCACGACATTTGACATATTCTCCATAGAATAATTTATTGTTTGACATTTTCCGACATCAAAACCATTTTATTGATATTTAGGACTAGAAGTTAGGCATCCTGTGTTCGTTTTACCGAAATCTATTGGTTAAATAGTGAGAAAATACTGAAAAACTTTGTAGATTGTCAGTATCTTGAATCTTGCAAATGTTAAATCAAATAAAGTTTCTGAAATGTGCACGATATTTTAGATCTTTTCAGCAGTTAATCTCTGATAGTTGTGAAATAACAGTTAATTTATGATTGAAGGTAGCTTTTGACAGTTCTTAGGTCTGTCCCGAAAAAGTATGCACAACTCAACTCGGAAATACCAGTCGAACTTGAAATTGTCAGCAAATACAGTATCAAGAAATATCATTCACACAAAATGTCAACGTCCATTAGGACGTTTGGATGAATAGTGGGATAAATCCACTACGAGAACACAACTTGTTCTCATTGACATATATATGTACATATATCATATTTGTTGTGTATCATAAGAAACATTCTAATCCGATTACAGCACTCATTCTGCTTTCTATCGTCACTTTGGATGAAAGTCTAATCACATAACAAACAATCAACTTATACTGAAATTTCTAGAAATTATCGAAAACTGCCTCATATATGGTTTTCTAAAATATGTGCATCAGAAGTCAAAGAGATAAACAGTAAAATGAGTCTGTTTATCGATACCTGCTGCCGCTGCCGCCGTTGCCGCCGCCGCTCTCAAGTAAAGTTGTATATTAGTGAAAAATTCAATTTTCAAAATCAGGAGGTTTGAACTGAGAATGTTGACTAACAGATATGTTACACATGGAGAAATGATTGGGTGTAAAAAAAGTGATTAATGAAAATTTTGGAAATTCTTTCTCACCATTTTGTTTGAAAAATTTTCTGAAACTTTTGACAATACATCTCGTCCTAAACAGAAAATCTTCTGGATTATCGAGGATACTGAATACGAAAAAGCACTTTTTCGCGGCTCTGTATGAACTTTATTATTTTCTTCGCATTGATATGCTTGAGTGATCTTTCTATAGCAACGTTTTGTTTGTAGTAATGAAACTGAAACTTAGTATCTTTTCTTAACAATAAAAATAATCAATTAGTATTCATGAGAAAAATAACACGAACATTATAGAGTACAAAATCAAAAATAAATCACGAAGAGAAACCAATTTTTGAATGGAATGCAGAAAAAGAACAATTAGTCACAATAAATATCTATTATTTACAATTTACACAAAAATATATAAATTCTAAACAAAAATAAAATTTACTCAACTCTACTGAAAAGTCTCGTATGGAAGAGGAAAGCGAATACTGGTAAACCAGTTAAATAACAATACAACTAGATCTGTAAACCAATAAGTCACTGTTGCCCCTAAAAAAAAAAGAAATTGAGTCAACAGATCTAAATACAATACAATTCTGTATATGAATCGAAGCTTACCTGTTCCTATTTGCTTTTACCTAACCCAAATTTTAAACCTAATATTAAGCCGACAATGCCAAGGATGACGAACAAGATTATTATTAAGCAAATTTTTTTTCGACGAGCAGCTGACTGGAACACAAAATAAAGAAAGGGAACACAATTATGGGAAGTATTGTGTGAAAACTGTCAGATATTTTCCCATAGCTATCATAGTCTTCTTCAATAGCTGAAGGAAAGGGAGGACGAGGAGAAAACAGATACGAAACAAAGGTCAAAACAACGCTACACCGTTGATAGAATAAAATTCTAAAAAGATCAGTTTTAAAGTATCAGTTTACCTTTGGACTACGATAAATATGTCTTAGTTCTCCGCACAACTTCTTGTAAAAAGTAGAAGAATCTACTATTACTAGAACTAAAGATTCAAAGTTTCATAATGTAGAATATCCCACGTTACCATGCCAACGTTAATATATTTTTCGCAGTAAAAAGTTAACATTCAAGTAAAATCGTACGTACCTGATAGTTAACTGCTTGTTTTAACTCGCTTGCTGATTTTTGTGTACCTTGTTCAGCAGAATCTACGTGAACCTCAATATGATCTAAACAAGCGCATGAAGCAAACTATAGTATATTGTATACTATGTTGTTTTCAAAAGTTCTTGCTTACCTATAATGTCGCCCTGTTCATGAACAAGTTTTGCCACATCTTTAAAAATTTCATTCACTTGAACTATGTCATCCTAAACAAAAATATACTGGACAAGGATCGCTAACATTGCTCTTTTGACCAAGCCTTTTTTGCGAAGTTTATGTATAGCTACATATTTATACATAGTTAATAACATTGGAAACACTTTGGAGAGCGAGAAAAATGTTTTAGCTGTATGATGCGTGGAATGGCACTTTTCAGTCTCACCCCCTAACTGATGTGACACATCGTCGTGACAACCATTTGTGAGATGTCGTAGACAATTTTTTTCAGTAAAACGCAATTTTTCGATGAAAATTCAACCTTTCCCTACTTCAAAGATAATATTTGTGAACCGCATTACATTTATTTTATTACCTAACGCTAGTGAATGTACTCAAATGTGAGTACTCAAAAAGTACTCTGCTAGAAAAACCGGACGAGTACTCATACGTACTCATACATTTTTTTACTCACTGAGTACTCACCTGAGTACTTATGAGTGAGTAACAAGTGCTCTGAGTACGAC